TAGTTGAGGAATTTTATAAAAGGAATTAGAGAACAGTGAAGTCATTTTTACATCATATGTGAAATTGAGAGCAGAAGGTGAAAGAGGTTAGGCAAGAAGTATCCATCCATTTAGCTCGAAGAGATCGATTTTTAGGAATTCTAAGGTAAGGGTGGGGTTCTGATCTTCTAAGAGATAGTATGATGAATAGTGAGTAAGGATTTAAGTTCTTGCGTTGTTGGCTTGTTGTGTCCTTCTATGTTATGAACCTTGATCTCTCTTAGTTGATAAATTGTGTGTTTTGCAATAATGTTATGAATGTTGTGAAAAAGTGGACGAGGATACTGTTATAATATATTGATTATATGATGAATTTTGTCCGCCTATATGTGTGACAATTTTGTTTTTTGGTTGTTAATATGTTTTCCTTCATTGTTGAGTTATGAGGGTTTGAATCATAGATAGAAAATTGATGATTACATAATATTAATCCATGGGTAATACAAGAAAATAATTGATTTTTAGAATATTAAGATAGCAGAAAAATGGGTCTATGATGGTAGAATTTCGCAGCATAAGTTCTAGCATGATAAACTAGTGTAAAAGTGCTTTTAAAAAGTGATTTTTGGGCAAACGGAACATTATGCGTTGACCTGTATGCCTTATGCATCGACTTGTAGCTCCCATAAACGAATTCTTTGAAAAAATGGTTGTATGCGTCAACTCATGCGTCGACCTCTGCGTCAGCACACAAAAATGTTAAATATGGTTTTGATTGTAACTTTTTAACCGTATATCCAAATGACGAACCATTTAAAGTGTTGGAAAGCTAATAAATAGAAATTTAAAATGGTATAAATAGGTGAATTGTTTTCCCATTATTTCTATGTATAATATATTTAGGAATGTGATTATTACTTGTTGTGTACGCTAAGAAATCTTGTTGTAAGTGACGAATCTTGGGTGTTGTTACAAAGATGTTGTTATGATGTTAATTATGGTAATATGAGGATGTTTTAATGATGTTGTTGTGATTGAATAAAAGTTTATATATATATATATATATATATATATATATATATATATATATATATATATATATATATATATATATATATATATATATATATATATATATATATATATATATATATATATATATATATATATATATATATATATATATATATATATATATATATATATTGTATTAAATATATTTTATGCTTGTTGGCCACTTTGGACGGTGTATAGTAACCATGGTGGTGGGTTATTGTGCATGATAATGTTGTCGTTGTGGTATGCATAAACAGTCGCATTGTATAAAATTGTGGACAATGGTCCGTTGTTGGTGAGTCTAAAATCTCATTGTGTGAAATGGACCGGTAGCTGATTCTAGAGGTGATAGGTCAGTGAGTGGTTTTGATCCTAGGTGGTGGGGATCATAACGATGAACTTGAGTGTTCACGAAAATTAGTACCACATGCATATGCATTGAGTCAGGTTGTGAGTCTCATTGCATTGCATATTAACTATGTTGCTATCTTGCTAAATATGTGGTGTTGTGTGAATTATTTGGACTTGTTATCATGTGATTTCCATGTCGGTCGGGGAATAATTAATAATGATGTTCTTGGTAGATTAATATGAGATATTTAGTTGAATTATTGTTGTGTTATCTTTATGCTTGGATAACTTAGTGTTGGTGTTGGGTGTGTTGTGTTGAAGAATGAGTGATAATGTATGTGTTAATCTAATGCATATTGTTTATCATGTTTTCCTGTATATTATTATGATATCACACTCCTTCTATTTGAATATTTCCTCCACGTGAGTAATGTGCAGATACTCCGCAGTAGGAGCCAAATGTGAGTTGAAGATGAAGTCTCCTTACCTTTCTTTTTAGTTTGGTGTCTGCTCTGAATGTAACAATGGGGAGTCGTGGGACGCGTTTATGTTTTATAATTCTTTTAAGATTTATAGACATCTCCTTATTATGTTTAATTACTATTTATTGAATTGTGTGACTTTCATGATAACTATTATATGTCAAGACATGATAATTGATTTTTGTTATCCCGCTGTAATAAAATTAATGTTAAGATATATTCATGTTTTTTTGATTATATTTAATATATAAGTGTTACATAGACTATCAGATGAGCAGGTTTTGTATGTTGACTGTAACATCCTAATTTGTGTGTGTTTGATTTAATCACATTGATGTTTTATTAAAGAAAAAATTTGTGGGGATTATTTAGGGTGTTACATCTACTGGATTCATTCATATCTGAGTGTACCCTGAGTAGGCATTTAAAAAACTAAGAAGGAAAAAATCGGAAGCCCCATCTATGAACTGATATATGTGAGGGAGTGGATAAAGGTCTTTTGGGCATGCCTTATTCAAGTCGGTGAAATCCACACACATTCTCCATTTTCCATATTTCTTTTTCATTGTGACTATGTTGGCTAACCACGTTGGGTACCTGATTTCCTTGATAAAATCGACCTTCATGAGCTTTCCGATTTCATCTTCTACGACCTTCATCTTTTCCTTTGTGCTATTGGCTTAATGGTGGGATCCAACGCTAAATGGTGATAGACTATATTAGGATAAATTTTGGGCATATTCGCTGGATTTCAAGCGAACATGTCCATGTTTTCTCTTAATTTTTTGATGACCTCAGCTTTTTCCTTAGGGGATATGCCTGAACCAATCCTGGTTGTGTGTGATGATTGGGCACTGATCTGTACCATTTTTACATCCTTCATAGGTGTAAGACTATCTTCCACCGGGTCCTCCTGCGGATCTATGTCCACCATATTCACTTTTACCTAATCGTTCCTCATCAATTCGTCGACGTGATTTATCTTCATGGGCCTCAGACTATCTTAATAACACTTTCTTGTTGTCCCTTGGTCACCTTTTATTATTCCTCCCCGACCATCCTTTAGTGGATATTTTAGAGTGAGATACAGAGTGGACAATGCCGCTTCCGGAGCATTAAAAGAGGGCATACCGATAATAATGTTGTAGGGAGATGGGGCGTTGATAACCAAGTACCTCACGTGGACACTTTTGGCGTCTTTGCCCTCACCGAAAGTGGTTATAATGAGCCCGTATCCCAATACATGTACCTGTTCTCCTGAAAATCTGACCAACGTCCCCATAAAGGATAACAGTTCGGTGGCATCAAAGTTCATTCCTTTGAATCCTTCCCAATATAAGATGCCTGTTGAACTTCCCGGATTGACTAGAACTCGCCTCACGTTCTAGTTTTGAACTTTCGCTTTGATCACCATTGGTTCATCCTCGTGGGCTACCATTCCTCAGCATCCTTTTAAGAGGAGAAGATCATAGTCTGGTCTGTTCTTCCTTCTGGAGACGACTTTTGCCTGACATGCATTATTGTCCTAGCATACTTTTTTCGTGCTGAACTGGATTCTCTCCCCTGCGAATCCTCCTACAATAGTATTCAACGTATGATTCATCTAGACTTTTCGGAATTCCACCATGCTTTCTTTTTTCTTTTGTGTAGAATTATTCAAGCTGACGTCTGTTGTCGCCATTTGATTACTGACTATAGTGACATACTCATGTGAGCCAGTTTTACCAATGAAAGAAATTAATGGCAGTGGTTTGAAGTCCTATGAGGCTTGATCACCCCAGATAGTTTCTAACAGAGGTTGGGAATCCAAAGGTTTCCCCACTACAAGTAATTGGGTTATATCTGGTGGCAAATATAAGTCATTTCAGTTAAAAAATGACTCGGACATGGTACAACTGGGTTGCAGACGATATTTCGTAGATTTGTGTGGTCTTGACAAGTTTTACCGAGACCCACAGTGGGCGCCAAATGTTCTTGCTAAAAGCACTAAAAGGTTAACTTCCCCATTCTAACTCGAGGAGAGTCTTAGATGGTTGGTTAAGGTTTTTGTTTGTGTATGCCTATCGTGGATTGTTGGTTGTCCCCCTGCCTTTCAAGCGCATCCTATTTATAGATCTTTCTTTGCTAATACATCTTCTTGTAACATCCGCCGCTTCCATAATTATCCGATAACGTCTGTCTCTTCAATGATTGTAACTCTCCAATCATAGTGCATTGTTTCATAAATGTCTCTTGTCTCCCTTCGCACGACGTTCGAGCCTTGTCATTGGCCCCGACTTGTATGATTGAGATAGTTCCCGGTTCATATGAGGTCGGCTCAGCCTTGTTTTATTTGGCTACTTTTAACCAGTAGGCATATGACCTTCCGATTTGTCATTCTCATCACGCTCGACGGTCCATCCAACTTATCCCCGTAGAATTTTTTGAATGTATACTTGATGTTACCATACTTATACCTTAATTGATCAACATAATTTTCGAGAGATAGATAATTGTTGACTTACTATTCTTAAAGACAACAATACATCAATCAATAAAACCAATAGATATTGACGTTTAGAATTTTGAATTTTTGGTTAGACTTTATAGTGCTAGAGTCTAGAGACTATATAAAACATGTTCTAAGACACGTCTAAGGATTTTTTAGACTATCATCTAAATATCTTAGTGACAAAAAGATGGTAGTAAGTGTGCCTTTAGGCATGTCAATCCTCTAATCTAATCTAGTGGATAATTCTTAAGACGTGTGTATTTTGAAAAAACAAGAAACCTTACATTTAAAATTTAGTTTTTAGTCCGGTTAAAACCAAAGAAAAGGACTTGGCGGTCACGCGGTTAACAAAGCTGAAAAGTACCAAAAAAAACGTAAGCTTCATGTATGTCTGTATGTCTGGTCACTCCTGCAAACGTAAATAACCTTTGTCAGAGAACCTCTGACACCACTTTACTACCTTTCCTTCACCATCATCACCGTCTCTCTCTTTCTCACACTAGATATTTTCATTGAAAAGTGAAACATAAAATAAAGCTTTTTCTTTTTTACTTTGATCATCATCATCATCATCGGTATTAGCATCAGAAACAAACAAACAGACCCACTAGGAAAATAAAAACCTCGTTTCAATGTTCACAATGGAAGCTAACACAACTGGTTTCATTCCACACTCTCTTCTCTTTTCTCTTTTTCTTTTTTCCCTTCCTTATTCTTTGTAGTTGTGTTATGAACTATAAATTTTGTGTTTCTTTATGAGGGCTATTTAGGAGGTGGAGCCCAGAAGAAGATTTTGAATGGTGAAATTGATGAAGGGAAAAGGGTTGTTTTTGTAGTGAAGGAAGAGATAGAAAGAAACCCTTTGATCACAGAAGCTCAAAGGCGTGAACTTGACCATCAAGTTTTCATTTTTAATCACTTTGCTTATAACATTCCTCTCCCTCATTACCTTTTGCAGTTTCCAACTCTTGTGTCAGGTTTGTGAAAACTTCTTATCACACCCTTTTCAATTGTTTTTACTATTACATTGGAAATTGTCACTGTGAATGCATTTTCAATTCTTCTAAAGCCGATATTATTAGGTTGGACGTAATCACCGTTGAGTGTATGAGTTTCTAGTGTTTATTACCACTTTGTCTGCGGCCTTGGGGAAAATGCTTAAAGAATTTATTAGGGCAAGAGTCTGTTTCTGATATTTAATGTTGAAAATGTCTCTTGTTTATGAAATTGGAAGATACTAATGGTTCTGATTTATTTCTTTCAATTGCAGAATACGGTTGCTGTGGTTCTGATTACAGGACTATGTTGGATTCAGAACCAAATAGGTGTAGAAGAACTGATGGAAAGAAATGGAGGTGTGGTAAGGACACAATACCTAATCAGAAGTATTGCGAACGCCACATGCATAGAGGTCGAAATCGTTCAAGAAAGCTTGTGGAAACATCTGTACTTAACTCTCCTAATTTGAAAGCAAAGCCAAGTAATGGCAGCACACATGCAAAACAAGTCCCGAAAATTGAGTCTGCAGTTTCAAATCCAAATCCTTTGGTCATTCAACACAGCCGTGCAATCTCATACACCCCATCGAGGAGCTTCTGTGTTGTAAATAACCAGTCCAGTTGTAATCGGCCGAGAAATGCCATAAGTTCTGATGCCACTTTGGTGACTGTGGTGACTGCTTCCTCGATCCTGCCCCCTGCAGTTAGACCTAAGGTGACCACTGCCTCGAACCTGGCCCCTGCAGTTAGACCTAAGGTGACCACTGCCTCGAACCTGGCCCCTGCAGTTGGACCTAAGGTGATCACATTCGGAGGCACGGCATCTCATACTTCGGATAACAGAGGCCGTCTTAATGTATGCAATCAAGATTTCTCCCCGAAGAGCGTTCTTCAAGGTAATGATATCACTAACTTTGCCGGTTAGCTTTTCATCAGAAAGCTAAGAGTTTTTGATTCTCATTTTCTGCTCTCATTTCAGTTTCTGGTTGCAATGACTCATATCTCAATGATAGAAACAGTATAGCAGAGCCTGAACCCGGTAGATGCCGAAGAACAGACGGTAAGAGATGGCGATGCAAGAGCGCAGTTCTTCCAGGTCAGAAATATTGTGCAACACATATGCACAGAGGTGCTAAAAGACGTTGTACAAACACCGAATCATCTCCTCCTTCTGCTATTGCTACTACAACTGCAATTAGTTCAGATGTTACCATTGCTCGGTTGCCTTACGCTGAAACAGCAACCGACATTCAGAAAGCCGACTGTCGAATTCCAAACACACAGCTTACAATGTCAGTTCCAGAAAGTGCAGCACCATCCTTAGAATGTAAGGAGATACGCGGCGGCCGCAGTGATACCGATACTAGTACTACCATCACTGATGCCGTCGATGAGTGTAGCTATCTTTCTTTCTGAGTAGCTATGTTTGATTTCTCAAAACATGTTTAGTGTTTATATATGAATGAAAATGTTAACTTATCAGCATACTGATATCAGTTGTGTTTAGGGAACAATAGTCTCTGTCTACATTATAAATAGATTAACTAAACTTTCTTAATTGCTGCTTTTTTTTTAGGCTAAAGTATTTTTTATCCTTTATCTTATTTTTATGTTATAGTTTAGTGGCTCTTTTAAAATAGAGAATTTCTTAAGGCATTCTATCGGCGTTTTAGACATTTCTTAGACACCATCCGGATTTTTTATAATACTCATAGTTTTTGGAGATATGTTTTTGGACGTATCATATTTTAATTAAATGTTAAGGTATTTCGGAAATATATCTTCGGACGCATTAAAACTCAATTAAACGTTGAAATATTTCAAAAATATATCTTCGGAACAATTTAGAGCATATTATCGCACCGGACTCTTCTCCTCCCACACTTTTTCATTTTCATACACTAAACTCTTCCACTCTCTCATTACCAAATTTCTCCAACTTCATCAAATTGTATTTCATCTGTCTGAGGCTCTAGTAATCATCAATCATCATCCATTTCATCATTCAACATCTTTCAAATCATAAATTTTAGGCAAGTGTTTTAAGTTTTTGATAAATATTCAAGTTTTGTTGTAAACGAGTTAGAATCCATTGTTAGGCATCGAAATGTTTAGAAATTAGATGAAACACAGTTTAGAGTAACTACATGTATTGTTTGTTGGTTCAAATGGACGACCAGGGCTTCAAATTTCTCATTCCGAGGGGCAGAGGACGCCATTGTCACGATCTCTGAGTTTCAGAATGTTTCAGAGATACATCTCCGAAAACATTCAACGTTTCATGTACTCTGAGTGATTCCGGAGATACATTTGCGGAATATTTTCCTAGTTGTATCTCCGGAATCACCCAGAGTACATGAAACGTTGAATGGTTTCGGAGATGTATCTTCGGAATTTTCTCAGTCTTTTTTTTTCTTTTTGTTTTATAAGTTTTCTTTTTGCGTAAATTCATTGTACGGTTAATACCTTGCAGGTATAATGACTGACAGAGCCGACCGATTGAGGCATGGACGTGTAGCCCAGTACGCATCCGTTAGATGAGAGCGAAGTCAACCGGGTCCGGGTGCAGCAGGTACCTCTGATCAGGGAGAGGCGTCGACTGCTGGTGTACAGTCTACTCTTGAGGCTTAGTCCACTCCTGGGGTTCATCCTTCACCTCAGGTCACTCCATCTACATCTCAGGCCACTCCTGCTACATCTCAGCCTATTCTATCTACATCTCAGCTCACTCCATCTTTTACTTCTTCATCTTTCCGCAGACCACGAGATGCACTAGCTGACGCGTCACTTCCCACATCCCCCCGCAGGTGACGGGATGCACTTGTGCCACCTCTTGTTAATCTGGTCACACTTGCTGATCGGGATGCACCTGTGCCAGCTCCGGAGGGTGATGTTGCTGATGCCGAGCCAGAGGCTTTCGGAGGGGTCCATCTGATATGTCCCTACTTCCTTTGTATCCAGACCACATTGTCAGATATATTTGGGACGGAAAGGTAACATTAGTCACATAGTTACTATATTTTTTTACGTTAATTTAAATTGTTGACATTGATTATTTTTGGAAATTTGCAGGTGCGTGATCCACATAAGTTTTTAAACCATGGGCGAAAGATTTTAACATTACATCAGTCTGATGAGGAGTGGTTTCAATTTGTTCTGACCGCCTCTAGGTTAAGTGACCTATGCTTGACCGGTTACACTATGGTTAACCACATGATGCTTAATGCATTTGTGGAGCGATGACACTCTAAGACCACTTACTTTCACCTCACGCATGGTGAGATGTCGATTACACCGGACAATGTCTCATCTTTGTTGCATCTACTGATCAGGGGGAGATTCCTGCATCATGTTAGGATTACCAAAGACGAGGCAATCAATATGATGGTGAAGCATATGGGGGCTGATCTAGGGAAGGCGTTCGAGGATGTGGATAGGATCAGGGGTGCTCATGTTAGATTTTCGTTCTTGAAGGCGAGATTTGATGAGAACAGGCTAATGGTGATGCCTAGGAGGTGGACATACACAAGACTCATGCTTTGAGGTGTTATTTTCTATTTTTAATTTGCATTGTGCTTTTTGTGGACACAAGAGCCACCTATATTGACGTTGCATACCTTTGATACTTCTTGGATCTCACACAGATCCATGAGTACAACTGGAGGCTGCTTGCCTTGCATATCTGTATTCGAGGCTGAGAGATGGATGTTAGTAGAGGATGAAGCAGGTCACAGGAAGTACGACACTACTGGTGGTAATAATTTTTTATCCTTGAATGTTTTGTTATCTTTATTATTTCATATTTGCGATAATTCTTTATCCCTGAATGCTTTTTATTTTCATTTTAGACTTAGATCCTTCAGCATTTCCAGCGCGTCGCTCGCTGGTCGTGTTGGGATGAGTATACTGAGGAGATGCCCCGTTCCTATGCTTGTTTCCCACTAAGAGGGAACAAGGTGACTGAGCCTTTCAAAATCTATTTTGAATGCTTGGCTGCCGAGGACATCCATTTTAACTACACGTGGATCACCGTCAGACGCGACCATTTGACGACATATCGATGTACTTCGGATGGTGGCCTGCGGATCGAGTATCACTGCTCCTCATCTTCCCAGATGCATCATACGGTAGTTCTAGTACACCCAAATTATCCCCATATACCCTGTTGTCTCTGCACCTCCGCTCTTGACTCGTATACAGATAGAGGAGATTTTAGCTGATTATCAGAGTCATCTGGTTCTCGATGAGGCTCGGGCTACCATATCACCGAATGACTGGAGCTACGTCGACGGATGCATCCAGTGGTTCTTCAGGATCTCATATTTGTACATGGTGTTGACTTCTCCAGGAGATCCGCCGAGACCCGCTCATTAAGAGACTCTAGAGGAGCAACAGACTCAAATGGATCATATTGAGGATGTCTTGCCTCGTTGTCGTTGCATAGTGGAGATGGCACGAGCAGGCATTGACGAGGGTATCTTCCTTAAGGGGTCTGCTGTCAGGCGAGTACTAGATGACATTATTACAGAGGCACAGGAGGCACTTTTGTACCGCAGACATCACGCAAGGACATGGGGGATCGATGTCCGAGGAGGCAGACCAACAGAGACGGAACAAGAGGCAGAGGATAGGTTGTCAGGCACACCCAATAGTTATCTGTATTTACTTTGTTTCAGTACTATAGTTTGTACTTTTTTTTTGACATTGTTACTATATTTTGGATTTATGTGACGTATGACGCGTATTACTATATTGTTATGTTATTTTGGTTTGTCTGTTATTTATTAATTCATCTGTGAACAAATATACAATGCCTTTTATAAAAAAAAGTCTGTTCTGAAACACTCCCGAGATGCATTTCCAAAAAATTCCCGTAGATGCATCTCCGGAAAAATTCAAATGGAAATGGGCTATGGGGAGATATGTTGCAAGCGTTTAAGATTTAAATTGTTTTGGAAATATATCTCAGAAATGTTATTAAGCCATGAGGCACTTTCAGAGATATATCTCCGAAATCTGAAGGCATTTGTGGAAAACCACATGATGGAAAAGAAATCCATGGGGTGCCTTAAGAAATTCTCTTAAAATATCACATCTCTCATTTATTTCGTGTGATATTTACATTTTTTCCTGATTGCTTATTTTCACATTTTTACTTGGTGGTTTTAACGTGCCATCCACTGTTATACTTGACACCCTCATTTTGCGTGATTTTATCGATATACCCTTAAATAAAGTTATCATTTTTTCACAATATGTGAGTATGTATCAGAAATTTAGAAAGTATATCGAAAATTTTCTAAATTAAACAAGAAATATCAGAAGTTTCGTAATTTCCAGTATATTCTGGTATTGTTGTCCGGGAATTTGAAAATTCCGGCAAGCATCGAAAAATTCCAAAAATAATGGAATTCTGGTATGTATTTTATTTTTTGAGTATTTTTTAAGTAAATAACCGGATTAAATATTTATCCGATAAAATATATTCATAGATTATAAAATTCCAAAATGTACTACATATGTAAATACAAAACAAGTTACGATAACTTCATGACTTCGCCTTTCTAGTGCCTAATGCCTACCAAAAATGTCATTGCTTTCAGATTTATTTTTCCTTTTGTTTACCAATAATCAATTTATCTTTCCTTCCTTGCATTCCATTTACGGTATCAGAATTGGAACAAACAATGACAACAATAATACCATGTTGTTTACCAATGGATTGTGTCCATGCTAATACTTCAGATTGAGATTGAAATATCTGCCATTTACATCATATGAAGACCAAATCATCAATACAATAAAGACAAAAATACATTTAGATCTAGAACATGCTGAAAAGTAAACTTACAACGTCTGTGGTGAATAACTCTGTATAACCTTCATAGGAATTCGTTGAAAAGCCTTTCGGTTCGGGACCGTACAAGCGAAGCTTACTTTGTACTACAAGAAATTTTGAAGAAATGCAAAAATTTCGGTATCCCGAAAATTAGGCAATTTCTGGTAAATTTTGAAGCTTTCTGGAAATTATCATAATTGCTGGTATTTTATCTCGATGAAGTACTGGAAATTTCACAAATTCTAGTATAATTGCATATATTTTTCCAAAGGAAAAAATCTAGCATGAGTCCTTTTTAAGTTATTTTTTTTAACAAGGCAGTCCTTTATGTTTTTTTTACTACAAACAGGTCCCATTTGTTTTTAAATTGTAACAACCAGGTCCTTCAAGTTTTGTCTGTTGTACAAATTACGACCTTATTGTAACAAAACTGATATAGAATTGCAACAATTGTTACATGAAGGTACCAAAAGTCATATCTTACAAAAAAGTGTTACATGAAGGTACCAAAAGCCATATCTTACAAAAAGTGTTACAAGAAGGTACCAAAAGTCATGTCTTACAAAAAATGTTACAT